AAATATAACCACCCCCACATAGGAAAGGTGTGGTCTGCACCCTGCACATGCCCCAGTTTTATCAGTCACTGCCCAGATTTTGATAAACAATCATGAAACTAGAAAAGTACTTGGTAAATGCAAAGCATAGGTGCAGGTAACCCCTAGGGTTGCCTATCATCCGTTAAAGTTGTGAGCTGCAGGGACAGGAGTGTCAAGAGTATGCACCACTCCACCAAGAGTGTGTGATAGGGGTTAGAGCACTGGGACACTGGAGATCTGGTTGTCTCCCTATACTGCCTCTCATCTGCTCTTATCTTAGGCAAGTCTCTCCACCTTTCTGTACCTGTAAAGTAGCAATACTAATAACACGTACTTCTTTTGTAAAGCATTAACATCTGCTAAAGCAATGAAAATATCTTCATTCATATTAATAATAATAATTGATGGCACCCATCTGGAAGCAAAAAAAAGTGCAGGAACAGAACAGAAAGCATTTAGCTGGAAATATAGCAGTCAGGAGAAGTGTCTGTGTCATGTGTTGTAAATATGGAAAACAGAATACAAAAGGCCCATTTAATTCACATGAGATTCCCAATCCCTCATGTACCACGTTTGGTGCTGATTTATTTGAATTAAGATGGCAAGAAAACCTCCCCTCACTGTTTTTTGTTGGATTTTTAGTTTAGTTTTCTTTTGTTTTTAATCAAGCTCTTGCTCAAGCCATGTGAGTAAGAATTCAGTAACACATTGTAAATCACAGTTTGCAAGTTCTGTGACTGCAGATGAGATAGTAAAAGATAATGCTGTATTATTCACATGTGGTTTGTTCGTCATTCAGGCACCACATGTCAGATTCTCCCTATGCACAGCTGAATGTTGGTAGAGATTGCAAAGAACATAATTTTAAAGTTCTGGTGATTAAAATCCTTTGGTTGTTGCTGAAACAATTCAGAATCTTATGAGTACAAGCCTAAACCCTTTTTTTAACCATCTTTGAGTCAAAGTCAATTTACTATGAAACTGTTTCAAAAGAGGAGCTGACAAAAAAAAGAAAAAAAAAACAAAAGAAAAAAACAAAACAAAACCCAGAAGAAATATGCAGTCAGCAATACAACCCTTTCCAAGTAAATGGTAGACAAAATTATATTTCAATGGAATTGTCTGACATCCCACCATGATAACAAAAGATTTCTCAGCGCTCCGCATCCTAATTAAACATCCCGGTTAAACTTTTTCAACAATGTAACATTATTTTAAAGGTATTAGGGATTGTAATTTGCTACAGTTGCTCAGACAAGGTCTATAGCAGAGCCATTGTCCTAAACCCACTTCATAGTTTTTGGAGAGAAATAGGTGAATTGCAATCCAAAAGTGCAATTTCTCTATGTTGTCCCTAAAGAAAGTCTCAGTTCCAGTGTCTACATATAGATGTAACTCATAGCACTCACATATATAGCATTTAATAAAATGAGGCCCCAAATTGTCTGACATTTGACTCCTATCATAATATAAAGACTAAATTCTGTTTTATAGTCCTATAGGTGCCAACATGCAAAATAAACAGCTGTGCAGTCCTGTGCAGCTATAAAGAACTGGTTTCTTATTCCTGAAGATACCTGAGCTCCTCATATGGCTCCATTTATATTACCTACCCAATGACTCAACACAAATGCATATTTACCTAAAAGCCTAAACAGGCCACCGCAGAAGGAAGAGTCATGGAGTTGTAAAGGACATGTCAGTCAGATGTCCCTTCAGACACCCTTCAGATGGATACACAACAGAACAAGGAATGATCGTCCTTTTTGTTTGAAGACATCTGTGCCAATGTTTACCTGAGATATCTCTAGCTGAGTTTTGTACTGATCGGATGCATTGCTATGTTGTCAGCTATCAGACAGCTTTAGATGAATTTGATTTTCAGCTTGATCTCGTATCAAAAAAAAATGGCTAATGCAATCTAAACGAGCATGTTTTTGACTATCAGCAAATGTCTCCCACCCCAGCTCCCTAATTAATTAATTTGAAACCTTTGGCGAAAATCAGAAAAACTTGACCCTATAAACACTTTGTGGAAACGGGCATCCAGATAAAGGAGAGATCCCACCAGGTGGTCTAACTGAAGGAAGACTGTTATGTGAGTTCAGAGCTTAGCATATCAGGCAACTTCGAAATGCTCCACACTTCAGTCAGTCAAAGCTCACCTTGTCTTGGACGTCAAAATCACGCTTGGAGAACTACACGCTTTTAAAGGGAGATGAAGTCCCTGCTGCAATATTATCCATCTCTTAACTCCGACTTCCACTGGCTGAAAACTCCTAAGCCATAGAAGTGGTCACTAGTAACATCCTGTAAACATTTGAATTTGGCCCAGAATGGGTAGCAATTGTGTTAACATTATGAGTAAGTTAAAGACTAAGAAGCTCTGAACGTAACATTAATTCTGTACAGAGCTGCTTCTGTTTTTCTGGGGTTTAGCCCTTTAGATTTTCCAGTTGTTAAGGATGCAGAAAGCTTAAACAACTTTCAAAAGAACAAAGCTCTCATGTCCTAAACAATAATGGAATTGTCTTCACAACTATAGAAATTGATACAGCTATATATATGGGTATATATTTAATATAATTTAATATCATTACATACACATTATATTATATATATTATATGTGTGTCTATATTATGTATAAAAATATATATAATAACAGGTATTTGATAGGACCTAGCAAAAGAACAAAGCGCCCTGTATTAGGTACTACTGCAGAAGGGCTTACCTGAACAATTTTGCATGAAAACACACATATATACACTTATCCAGAGAATGCAGAGGGTGTGGTGTCACCATCCTTCCTTTCAAACAGAAGAATGACCAGTTAGGGTTTTATGGAGATTTTTTAAAACTATTTCTACTTTCTAGTATATTTTCAGTGGAGTATTAACATTTGGAAGTATGATTTGGAGGTATGAATTTTATTAATAGTGTAGATGGTTCACCAGCTGCAACTTAAGACCTAATGTCTGTTTTAAAAGATTAACTGCAACAAAACCTATCCATAACTATTGGTGATCTCTTGCTTTTACCTTTAAAAGAATAAATTAGGCCAGTGTCATTTTTTCATGTGTCTCAGAAGTAAAATCACAGCAGAATAAAGTAGTATTACAGGTTTATTATGTCTCAAAATATAGAAATATATTCCAACAGCATATTTTAAAGATGTCTGTTTTAAAAGATTAACTGCAACAAAACCTATCCATAACTATTGGTGATCTCTTGCTTTTACCTTTAAAAGAATAAATTAGGCCAGTGTCATTTTTTCATGTGTCTCAGAAGTAAAATCACAGCAGAATAAAGTAGTATTACAGGTTTATTATGTCTCAAAATATAGAAATATATTCCAACAGCATATTTTAAAGAATAATATAACAATAATCTTCAGTTTCTTATTCTCAAAATGGTACACCATTATTTAAAAATATATTACTTAATGTACCCAAAATTTAGTTTCCATCAAATTCCATTTAGAATAAATTGAGTTCAAAAAAACATATCCACCTACCCAATTTATACAGAAACCAGTGAATTTTTTGAAGACAATCCAGGAATTTAACCTTCCAAAATGGTAATTCAGTTGGAGACATTCTATTTTGCTATACAGCCTTGTGCATGAACTGCAATTAAATGTAGATATCTAGGTAATGTCAGTATAAAATAGAGATGGAAGTGTAAAATGGAACTGTTGTATTAAGGGGAAAGAGCTTCTAGGACTGAAATCAGAACTGTTAATTTTCAAAAAAAACTGAGTGTGTGCATAAGAAGGATTTATGTATTACTCCAATAGTAAGATAAAATAAATTAGTTTCTGCAAAAAGACAGTTGCACATTCACATGCATACACACAGTCACACACACACATTGATTTTATCAGTCTGTATAATCTGAGTTTTCTGAAATACGCTTTAAATAACCAGAGAAGTCAGAGTTTACATGAATAGACTAAAGAGAAACTGATATGTCTTATTTGTTTTTTCACAACACTCTGAGAACTGTTTAAATGAAGCATTTTTAATCAAGGCAATTCATGATAAAAGCATATATTATAATTAGCCATGTAGTAAAAAGAAAACAGAGTTTCTATTTCCCATTTCCATAACACTAAAACAAAGGGGTATCCAAAGACATTAAATGTGGTAAATTCAAAATAAGCATATGGGTAGTGGTGGTGAGAATGATAATCTGTAATTAGTTGTGCAGTTCACAACCACAGGAATTTCATTTGTGGCCAAAAATTTAGGGAGAGTAAAAATTATTTATATGGATTTAAGAATTTTCAAAGTTAAGATAGTTAATGCTAAAAAAAAAGGACAGATATCCCATCTTGCATCTCATGATTTAAACCAATTTCCACCTGATAGAAAAGCAGATGGGATAGAAAGTAGGCTGCAAATTACCCACCGGCTTGTTATGAAAGCTGTTTTTCATCTTTGCCTGAAAACAGCCACCATCAGGGACAAGATTTTCAATTAAACAGGTAACAATTTCTGCATCCCCTGTGCCTTCCCTCCCACACTCAGAAAATACATCCAAAAGTGGGAGCTAAATAGAGCAAAGCCCTTCGATACCCTGTCTTCTATGTGTTTTGTATAAATAGCAACTTGTGTATATAATGGGAAGGCTTGTGTGGTTTTTTTGTTTGATTTTACCTTGTGCTGTTACTATAAAAATATTTGCCGGAGCAGTGTAATAGAGAATAGACTGATGAGATTTGAGGTAAGAATGTTGCAGTTCAATTTTTAGCATTAACCTGGACAGTCATAGATAGAGGTGAGAGTCTGTCTCCACAGAATTCCCTTTTGCAAACTCTACAGCGCACAAGCCAAGAAGTAACATACTCCTCCAGTTACACTCATCTTGTTAAAGAAAATAGTTATAACAATTATCTACTATTTATTTACTTAAACATTGTTCAACATTTGACTTTTTCTAATGGAGCAGAACTTCTAAAAGAAAAAATATGTTTGGCCAAGCAGTTTTGTTTAGTTTTTTTTCTGTGCCTTTTTCTAAATAAATACCCCACCACAGTTTTCATTGGCACAATATGACCAAATGTATTTTAGTTCCTTTAACAATATGAAGCAGTTATAGAAGTTCTGGAGTTTCTAGCTTTAAAAAAATCTATACAAAGGCTTTACTTTAAAATATTGAAATGGAATGAAATAGATTCCAGTATGGTCAACTGAAAAATTAGTTTGTGAAGTTCTACTGCATAGTAAGGTGACCCATAAAATAAATGGTTTTGAAATTTTGCTCATACAAAAGAAACTATATACTTTTAAATAAATAAAAGCTACTATATACATTATACTGTACATTTAAATGAGAGATGACGTGAAATGGAATAAATTTAGGACTGCCTTTTCATCAGCAAGGCTCATATCTTGACTTTATTACAATTCTAAATAAAACCCTCTGCATTAGATTATTTTTTTTTTATTCTAGTGGCAGCCACATGAACGCACCACCATATTCCTGTATTTTTTTAAAATAACATTGGAACTGTCATCAAAGTAGAGCACGGAGATTGCATTCAGTTTTGTTGGTGCACAGCATGGCTTTGGTACATGATCGGGGAACATCAAATGAACCTGAAAGACAGATAAATATATAGCTCATATATCAAACAGAGAGGTACAAGGACAATGTCAGTGCAAAACATGTCTTTGCAATTCAGAGAGTGCTGCGGTCGCAGATTTTCCTCGGTTAGCAACTTTAAAGCACAGCTTACCTCCAGAACGTTGCTCTGATTTCAATCGCGTGGGCAGAGCTATACAATAATAGCAGATGGAGAGATAAATGAGGAGGAGCGGCCAAGACAGAAAGTTGGTTTTCAGATGAAATTTAGAAAAGAGTTGGAGTTAGGCAGCTGCTGAGGAAAACACTTAAACATATTGTCAGTACCATCTCTGCTGAGGACAGTGCTTAACATGAAGCACAGGCTCAAGTCCCAGGTCTCACCGGGACCCCGGCATGTGCTAAAATGCTTTCCTGTGTCAGGGTCTCAGCGTGGAGGAGTCTGCTGCAGGCAGCAAAGGCTGTGCAGGCAAAGGCTCATACTGAAACTGTTTTCAGCCTATGAAACAGTAAGATGTGGGTTCTCAGACAGCATGAGTGCATTTTAAGGTCTTATCTAGGTATCCGTGGATCCAATTCTACTTCCACTGAAGTCAAAATCAATTCATAAGGTGGGTGCCAGCTGGACAGAAAGTTTGGGGAACGGGCTGAGGCAGAGAAGGCTTTATGTTCACTAGGCTGAAATATATCAATGAAAGGTTAAAGAGAAGGAAAAGAGTTTTGAACAGCATCCCAGAATGAACAAGATCTAGTGGAAATATCTAAAAATGGGGGAAATACAAGTTCTTTGTACTTGAAAGAAGGTTGGATGTAATATTCTACACATGCTGAAGGGTTGGAAACTGGGGAGGCCAGAAAAGAGGGAGTTGTAATAGAGAGGGCAAGAGATTATTAAGGCATGGATAAAGACTTCAGCAGTAATAGGTTTCATTTGTATGTTAAGTCTTTGTAAATCTGTTAGAGCCATCTGTCTTGCAGTGATATAAACCCAGAGCCTTTGCCAGACAACAGAGAACGGTCTATCAGGAAACGATTTTTACATAACTGTTACCATGAGAAGGTCTTTTGGAATGAGCAATAATAAATCCTGAAGTAGCAGTTTAGTAAGGGTTTAGACACACATTTAAAAACAGTTTAACAAATGAATAGCAAAGCACTGGAGAAAAGAATGATTGTGCCTTGTCTAGGCAGATGTTTGCCCTGCCATAACTCCTGGTCCCACTAGCCCCTACCATCCCAGCTGGGATCTCCATGGTCCTGCTAGCCCCGCACGACAGTGATGCTCACAGCCTTTTCAAGAGTGAGCCTGGAAGTCAGTGCGAGTCAACGTGCTGATCCAGTGACTCGCATGACCAGGAGGTCAACACTGCTCCAACGCTTGTTCTGAGGGCGATGGGAAGCGAGAGAGTAGAAGAAAGCTTATATAATTCATTACATGTCTTGTATTTATATGCATCTGTACCATCTGTCTGCCTAAGTTCAGTCTCAGAAAAAGAAGAGAGAGAGAGGTACTGGCCCAGCATTTCTCCTTTTCTTGTTACAAAAGAAAAAAAAAAGAGTCAGTAAAATTTGGAGGGGTACCAAGGAACAATCACTTCCCAACCCAACGAGTGAGCTTTTTTTAGAATGGTGTAATCAGTATGGCTGGGAGATGATTACATTTGGATTAGGGTGGGGTGTATGAATAATTGTTTCCCAAGCCATCCCCATGTGCACACCTTGTGTAAATCTGAATTTTGTATAATTTAAACCAGAAAGCATTCAACTACTGTTATCTCATCTAATTTATGTGCAGTTAAAATTTAATTAGCCTCATGATTTTTTGGCTGCACAACTGAATGCATGTACAGTACATGCAGAGGGAGACACACAATTCCAAAAAGGCCATAAAAAGGAGGGAAAATTTAAGTATCCAATTTAAAAAATAGGACAAACTACACAATTTTCTTAACAATGGGAAATTAACCATCTTTGGAAAGGATAGACACACAAAAGAAAGTAGCACTGGGCCACTTCTTATTTAACAGTCCATAATTGTAGGAGGGAACTCTAACCTGGTCTCACTGATATTGGCAACTTTTCTGGACAATGTTTGCATAATGCTAAACTATTGCTTTGCTGACCTATTTCTTTCCAGCTCAGGACTGCATATACACTGTTCTTCATCATCTCCTAGGCACATTGCTATATTCCTTGCCAATTGGCATTTGCTGTTCCCTTTCACCTGAACCCCTTACCACACTTCTATTTATTTCCAGCCTCTGACATTTTCCCTTCTTTTTGTAAATCTTGCTGACTCGAATTCTGGTATAGAGGAATAATGTTGCATTGGTGGCTGGACTTGGAGAAGGTGCATAAATGAAAAGTTGAATGGAAAGGAAAAGGTCTCGGCACATGCTGAGGTTTTAAAAATGTCCCTCTCATGTAGAAATACTTGGCAATTTTCACAGCAGAATTTGTTTTGTATCAGAAAGAAATCAGACTTCGTTTGTTTGTTTCTGGGTTTTTTTGGTGTGGGGTTTTGGTTTTGTCGGGTTTTTTTCCCCGGGAGGGTAATAGCTGCACTTATTTCTGAAGGGGGAAAGGTTTTTCAGGCACAGATTTTTTAAGTCAAAATCAAAGAAAAAATCACCATCCATGGACAGACTCATCAGCATAGTCTGATGGTCAGGATACTTTCCTATCATCAGTTTAAATTAGAGGGAGCCTTAAACCCATGTTTCTTTAATTGCAGTCGAGTGCCTTGACCTTTCCAGAAACTAATTAGGGATGGCAACCCTCTCCTGTTCTGATTTCATACTCCCACTGCCTCCTCGTGTATTACCTCTCATTCCCCTGCTTCTTAATCATTCTGCTAATACCGATGCTGTTCAGAGCCAGTTCTTCAGCTGGCACAGGTGAAAAATCATGACCAGACATCAAACTTGCAGAATTACATAGTCTAAAAGTCTAAAGGCCTTGATTTCTATAGGTGCTGTGTTTTCCAAACTGTAGTTGAATGCTGCTGGGGTAGAGGAGACGTAGCGAGCTGCTTCATCTAAGATCATCTTTTTGGCTGATCGAGTTGATGCACAGGACTAACATAAAAAACTAGCAGAGGCAGAAAGCTGGCTGCAAATCCCCTTTTACAAGTACCAAGCAGAGCAACAGATCCAAACACACTTATTTATAAATTGCATTTGTTAGCCAGGCATGACTGAACACAATTTCTTACATGCAAATGCATCTGCTTGCAAAGCTTCACATTAAATTACGATTTAAGCATCTTTGCCAACAGTTGACAACAGAGGTCCACAGAATGGCCAAGTGTCAACGTTTCTGGAAGGTATAGCATGTAGATGTTAACATGGAGCTTCAATAAGCTGCAGAAAACTTTTGGAAGTGGGACCAGGGGGCCTCTTTGGTTCCCGTCTACACAATTGTCCAGTAATATGACACAGTCTTCTCATGTGTTATTGCATTTGAAATGGAAGGGAAACCTACCACACAGGCCACTCTGGACAGTTCATCCTCCCTCCAGTGTAATCATCAAAGCACGTCTTGAAATGGGTTATCATTTACCCAGAAATAATCAAAATCCAATAGTAGTAAACAGAAAGGAAGAGACAGCCCCGGGGACAAGACACTTAAACTGCAAAATAGGCAACTACAACATAGGCAGAGGCATACCAGAGTCTGAACAATGGCGTGGTTTGTTGCGTTCATGTGGGCATTGAGGGGGAAAGAACACTCTCCGTCGCAGTAAAACGCAGCATAGCCCTCTGGTGCAATAATCCAATCCTAAAACAAGAACAAATAAACCCACTCAATTTTTTTTTCTTACTCAGAAAATTTAAAACTGTATCAAAGTAAGACTTGTCAGAGGACAAAATGAATTTCAGAATGTGGCATGTTAAATTACTTTTTTTGCCAAAAGAAAAAGAAGTATTTGCTTTGTTCATGCAAAACTCAGATGAAAATTAAATTAAACTTAGAAATCTGTACTGAATACCAACTAATGAAGCTATAAGGGGAATTAAAGGTCCAAATATGTTTGTCAGAATACTTTTCTTCCCAGAAAATCCTGAGCACTTCTTGGTGCAACAAAAGTAATTAAAATGCATCCTCTTTCTTCATACTCAATACCATTAATTGTATTATTGTGTGAGACTGAGGGTTGCCAGAGATTACTTGTTGGAATGTCGCTGAATCATGCATTTTTAGTATTTCTAGCAACAGAGCATGGGGAAAAGACCACAAGGGGAAAAATATCTTAAAATGTTAATGAAAGCTATGTGTTTAGTTGGCTGAATTCCTCCTTTGCCAGGCAAAGGTAATGGAGGCCTTGTGGGAAGGGCAGAGAGGATCAAGTACCTACATCTTGTGTTTTGTTTCTTTTTATCTCATTTCACTATGACTTTCACTGATCAAATATTGTACAGTGTAGCTTTGGCTTTCCAACTGAAACTTTGAATTCTTCAAGTATTTTTTGTGAAAAAAACAGGTTTTTTTCTCTTTGACCTCCTTGAATGACTGATCTGAAAGCCTTGGACATCTTGGGGCATACCAGGATTTACTGCTTCAAAAAATGAAAGTGGGAACTTCACCAGACTGCCACGATTTCTCAATGGATAGTGGATTAGCAACTTCATCCATGCTAACTTCAGTTCCCTCATGATCCACGGATGGATCTCATTGAGTCCCATGGACTTGTGCACCTTCAGATTCCTTAGATGGTCTCAAACCTGATCTTCTCCTACAGTGGGCAGCTCTTCATTCTCCCAGCTCCTGCCTTTGCCTTCTGCGGCTTGGGCAGTGAGGCTTGAGCACTTGCTGGTGAAGACCGAGGCAAAAAAGTCATTGAGCACCTCTGCCTTCTCCAAACCCCGGGTAACCAGGTCTCCCGTTTCCTTCTGGAGAGGGCCCACATTTTCCCTAGTCTTCCTTTTATCCCCAACGTACCTACAGAAGCTTTTCTTGTTGCCCTTGATGTCCCTGGCCAGATTTAATTCTATCAGGACTTTAGCTTTCCTAACCTGATCCCTGGCTGCTCGGACAATTTCTCTGTATTCCTCCCAGGCTCCCTGTCCTTGCTTCCACCCTCTGTAGCCTTCCTTTTTGTGTTTGAGTGTGTCCAGGAGCTCCTTGTTCATCCAGGCAGGCCTCCTGGTGTTTTTGCCCGACTTCCTCTTTGTTGGGATGCATCGCTCCTGAGCTTGGAGGAGGTGATCTTGAATATTAACCAGCTTTCCTGGGCCCCTCTTCCCTCCAGGCATTTATCTCATGGTACTCTACCAAGCAGATCCCTGAAGAGGCCAAAGTCTGCCCTCCTGAAGTCCAGGGTAGTGAGCTTGCTGTGCACCCTCCTTGGTTTTATTTACTGCAGATCTATTCATATCTTGAGTAATAGTTCAGATTTATCTCTATGTGAATGAATCCAGATCGTAAAGCCATTAATGTATGCAAAATCTTTGAGAGAACAGCAGCCAAAAAAGGTAAAGCGATAGTGATAGGGGTTCATTACAAAATGCATTTAAAGAATTTGTCTCTCATCAGTGAAATACCAATTACCATGAAGAAAACAGACTGTAAATAATGGGGGACTGTAAAATAGATTGTCCCAATTTGAACTGATAGGAAACAGCATTTATAATCATACCTGCCATCCTAAGTCTCGGAAACTCACGTAAAGTTCATGTTTCTTACATGCTTGCTTTTGTTCGCTTGTGTTATAATCTACAGGAAGAAAATAATAATACGTTGTTTAGAAGCATTGCTAGAACTAACAAGATTTAGCTATTTTTGAGCTCCTGACCAAACTGTGCAAAGGAAAGGAACAAGCATGCTGTCATTTATATTCCTAGGGTTGGTCTTAAAGGCAGTGTAAACTTGGAAATGCAGAATCAGCAGTGTCAGCCTGACACAATTTGTGTACACAGACAAAACAATGCATTCAGCATTAGGGGAAACAGGTTTACAAGATGTCTGTTTGCTGGCTAGCTAGGTAACAACTCTGATAATATGCACACACGTAATCAAAGGAGGACAAGTGAGAACCTGATCCAAGATATGGGGAAGTCATCTGTATGTTGGCACAGGTTTAATCGCCAGGTAAAGAAAGTAGCCCAATTGAAAAGATAAATTAACAATGATAAAAATTGTCCCGAAACAACAGAATTCCCAAAAGTCTGCTATTTAAACCTTAGCACATTTTGTACTCCTTCATTTTTTAACATATTTTCTGGAAATATTCACCACTTGATGATCTTTAGTTGGTAATACCAATGTAAACAAGTAGGCTAACAGATGCTTTTTAAAGGCCTGAATGTTTCTGCACTGTCAGAGATGTGTCAGGATAGAAGGACACGGAGAACCTTCCATACATGCTTCTCCAGGACAATCTTAATCCTAGAGAAAATCTAGTACTTGTTCCTTATTTCCCCTGAGTAACAGGAAAGGAAGGGAATAGGGTCATGCCTTCACCACATTAGCACCCCAGAGTTGGTTTATAGTGGTATTCAAGTGATGCCATCAGCGAGGCATGTGATGGAGCAGGGAGGACAGGATGTCTCCTCTGGTTCCATTTCAAGAATGCTTAAAGTGGCTTTTTTGGACAAAAATAACCATTCTGGCAGAAAAAAAAAAGTCGGCTGAAATTCACAACAATAAAAAAAACCAAAACAAAACAAGGAAGACTGAAAAAGGAACAAAATCTTCATTTTCAGGAACAGATTTTTTTTTTTTAGGAACAGTTTTTTAACATTAAAAGACTTGAGACTGGGTTGGGACGGTCTCTGTTGAAAAATTCCTCGAAAATTAAGAGAGGGGACTTTTTCACATAAAATGAAAGGAAGGAAGTTCTACAGTCTGTGAGATAACCCATTGTAGTGCTTCACTATCCTTGCAGAAAACTCTTCCAAATAGCTGGCCTAAAGGAGTTTTTCTGCAAATTTACCAACACTTTCTTATCAGCTGTCCTGATCTGTGTTATCATTGCTTCTCTGGGTTTTCTTCAGTTTCTCTGTGTCTTTCTGAAGATGTGATGGCCAAAACTGAACACAGTGCCAAATAAAGTAAAGTAATTATTTCCCACAATTTTGGATTATTTTCTAGTAGTTTATCTCAGAATAAGGGCTTTGCAGCAAAACCACACTGTCAAATGATCAGCTTCAGGTTCTTTTTTTATATACTCCTGCCTAGTTACCTTAGGATTATGTTGTATTTATGCAAATCAGTAAATAAAGAACAGGTTGGGGGTGAAGATGTTGATGAGAACTGCAGCATGATGGGGCTGTAGCAACCATGATACGGTGTAGTTAAAAGGTTCTGAGGGAATCATAGAATCATTTAGGTTGGAA